ACCAGAAGTTTTTCATACCGCTGAGAACGTCCAACTTAGTTACATTAAAACTGGTAAATCCATTAAGGAAATTAGAGTACTGAATTAGAGTATCAAAAATGACATTCATGCAACGCTTCGCTCCGCCCAAAATAACTCACTTAAGCACAGGAATATCCAACCAACCACATCTGCGAGGCCGACCAGTAGTAGTGCCGTACTCATGACCTTGTTCCCGAAGTTGAATACCAAACTCGTCGGATAGCTCAGTTGGGAAAGGGCCTCCTCCAACACGAGTCGTGTATGCCTGCCAACCGAAAGGTCCCCGGTTCTATCCCTGCACCCGTCACCCTACCTTTACAACACCAATAATGCACTTAATAGCTTGTGGGGGAACTCCCAAACCCGTACACACACCACCAATCGTCGTGTTAGAACTGGTCACATACGGATACGTACCAAAATCAATATCCAACATAGTAGCATTAGCAGCTTCTACAAGTATATTATATTCCCCTGAAAAATAACAAACATGAGTCGCTTCGCTCCGCCTCCCTCCATTCTCACCACACTGTGACTTCTGAATAGCCTTATGCATCATCGTAACACTATCAACCACTTGGCCCTTCAACACTTCCGCATAACCATGATAACGTTGAATCTCAGATTCTATATCAAGTTCAATGTTGTATCTAAAAAGATATTTTTCATGCCCCCACGCAAAGATACAAAACAGGTTACCTCAACTGACACCATTCCAGCAGTTCCCTAAGCTTCCTGTCGAACGTGGGGAGGTCCATCATATCACCGACCCTCAGCCCGTTTCGAGTCGTCTTATTAGCATAGCACGGGCCGATGCCGCGCCTAGTGGTGCCAATAGCCGTCGAGTTCTTCTCAGATTCTTGAATACCGTCAATCTGAAATCGAAAAATCGTCAAAATAAAATTCAAAATTAACCATAATTTTTCCTTACCATCTGGTGGGCGTCGAATAGTAAGCTCGCCCGGTTAGATAAATACAAACGCTTTAGAGCTTCCGAGTCGTAATCTTTAAGCTGCTCTAACTCGTTCAAGAGAGTCGGCACATGGAGTACCTCAAAAACGACGATGATGATTATCAACACGATTAATAGAAAAATAATAATTATTTTCATACCACTCCATTTCCAACTAAGTTGTCACACTTCTTATTCACAATCCCACAAGGCAACAGATGGAAGGCGAACTTCTGACCATCTACCACCAAAGTATGACCTAAAACGGACCTATTTTGAATCTTACCACGTCGAACCTAAGATACCCCCTACCAGCATTAGCTCCACCGTTGAAGCGTGCACACAGGTTAGCTCGCTGAGCCAAGATGTCGACCAACTTCCCTTTACCTTCATCACCCCACTGCGTACCAAGGATTACAGTAAAGGACGAGTCCAATCCACACAAGGAGTCGTTAGATGTCGACGGCAACGACATTGTCACCAAAATAAAAACACTATCATAATCATCATCACCAAAATAACAACACTATCATCACCAAAATAACAACACTATCATAATCATAATCATAATCATCAAAATGCCCCCTCCCGGGAGCAACCAATCATCTATACGTCAAATTCCTCTACCTCTCCAAAACCACTTCCGAAAAACACACAAAAAATCCGATTAAAATTTCAGCAAGACCACACATTTTATCACAATTCTTCCCAAACCAAGCCCAACCTCATCCCTCCAACTCCACTAGCCACGCCCTACAGCTGATCCCCAGAAAAGGGGACAGCCGCACACAATCCTGTTCCTCCTTTAAAACGCAATCATCACCTCTCTCTCGAACAACAACAAACTTCGAACTCACTTAGCCGTCATATCTTCCTCAGCTTAGACAACCTCCTTAATAGGGGCATTCTCAACCACCTCAAACTCAGCTTCGAAATGGTCGTTCATATCAAGTGTCTACATCTCATCACCCGAGTTAGAAAATCCTTTAAGAGCAGTGGTAAACCGGTCGGCATCGTCGGGTGCAAGCCCTCTAATAAAAAGGAGACAGATTTTGTGCAATCGGACTGGTTTTACGCGGAGTGGCGTCGTAATACTCTGTGAAAAACGCGATGTTATTCGCGGTGATATGCAGTAGTCGTGAAATATACTTTTCATATCACGGATTGCGAAATTTCCATGAATCTCTTCGAAGTTCGAGGTCACTCCCAAGATCGGCTTCTCCAAGCCTGATAGTGCTCTTGAAGCTCAGGAGTAGTTTACTGAACACCAGGCTTCATAATTTGGAAAAGGAATGGTATGAAAAATAACTTGCACGCATGCACATCTCCCGTTATCTTTCTTACTGACCAATGCGCTTGAACTTAAGACCACAGTCAATAAGCTGCTGACAATAATACACTTCCTTTCGTTCTCTCTAAACTTCCTCCCCAAGTGGTACGTAAATTCCCCAACTTCAACTGAGGATTTTACACACTGAAACAATCACTTAAACGGCGGCAGGAAGGCGTTTTTCGTTTTTTTTTCGCGCCATAATAAACAGCCGTGAATATTACGGTTGGATCTCGCACAGTGTAATTCATCGATACACCCATTCCGAAATTCAAACGAATTGGTCAGCAACAAATCGTCTCAGCTTGTCTTACCTGACCAACAGGGTCGAAGCAGGTTTAGGCTTCTACAGCTGGCCGCCGCCGCCGCACTACTCGATTGGGTCGGTCTTCGGCAGGCTAACCACAGGGCGTCCTATCATAAGACTCTTATGGCTAGCCACGCCAACTCGACTCGAGTTACTCGAGGTCCAAGGCCAGCCTTGCTGGTCCCTCTTTCGGATTGCTGCCCTGAATGAGATAATATCTCATATTATGGGTAGTCATATTATGCGCCTACCCATATTATGGGTAGGCGGAAGCATGACCTCGTATGAAGTCACTGACGTAAAGTCAGTAAACGATACCTTTATCGGGTCTACTGCGGGGCGAACATGATGTTAATGCTCCCTCATAAACGTTTCATGTTTCCGAATTTGTTCCGCGTTGTTGTCATGTTTGGAAAGCAAACGTCAAAATTCCTCCTGTCGGCCCGCCAGCAGCCAGGCTGTTACCCAAGAAGGCGAACGCTGAAAGAGTTCTGCGTTCATTTAGGGTAAACCATCGAGTCGGCAGAGACCTACTACATGTCAATGGTAAACGAAAAGCGACTCATCAAAATCTATTATTGTAATCGTAATAGTGTCGCCAAGCTAATAACGCCGACACCCACTCGGGTGGGTTCTTTCAGTACTGCGGCTCGCGTTCATGGCCTTTGGCAGTGCTAAATTGGCACACAAAACAGTGCAGTTACACACTGCAAAATGTAATGCAACTGCTCATTATGACCGCAATACGCTGACTAATTCCATATATTCACAAAAGCACCCGTCATCCCTATCGTCCCCTCTGGCAAAGGGAGGGGGAATAACGCGTCCTACAGACGAGGGATGCTGCGGGGGGAAAAGCAAACCAACCAACACTGTGGAATCTTCGTCAACGTGGGGTCACACTGTGACAGATAGTGACTGTCACAGCGACGTCACTATCTGTGACGCTTCGCCCGGCTCATTTCGTGCGTCAGGACGTCGTCTGTCGATCTAATGCATATGCATTTACTCCGCTAGCACATGTCCTGATCTGCGCGCACTCACAAGGTGCCGCCTTGAGTGCGAGAGCAAATGAAATAGCTAAATTCAAACGAGCCGTGGAGATTGGTTGATTATCCGTGTACACATAGAACTCTACGCTAATGGATGGCTTGTCAAGTACGGTTGAAACTGAAATCCTGTGACCTGAGATTGGTCTTGAAACGCTCGAATTCACGTATTGCTGCGTGAGTATGGCGCGCGCTAGAGTTTTTTAATATCAGTTTCACAGGTAAAAGGAAGGTTAACTCGATGAGTTGGGTTCCAAGGTCTTCACTTATGAGTGATACAGCAAACAACGGGCTTGATGCTTCCTGTGATGTCTTCAGTATCACGCTCTGAAGTAAGGAATTCTAGGTTTGATACGTCTCGGCGCACTGTGCAACCAGCGGAGCGTGTACGACTCACACAACCGGATGGCTCGCGAAAACCGTCTCCATTCCCCCTCACGAAAATACCCTTTTGGGGAATGCATCCGCGATCCGCGAACCGCTAATATTCGTTTTTAGAATCCTTTTTGCCACGTTGTCATTTTGTGAGCCTCACTAGAGAGGTTTGAAATAGTGTGTCTGATGGGACATGCCATATGCGAATAGATCCCCGATGAGCTAAGGAAACTTCCGGACTGAGGACGATTCTCTTACTTTTCTAGTATCAGGCCTATCATGATCAAGTCGAATGACGCAGTACGGAAGGTCAGGTGGCACCATTTCAACGTGTTCCGCTTGTGGTGCTGTGCTGTCACCAACAACGTGTTAAGACTCTCCTCTGTGCACGTGACTGCGATAGAATGTGCACGCGTGCGTTAATGCTATCTGCGATGTCGCTCGAGGGCTGTAATTTACAACCCAGTGGATAATGACTAATAGATGATACCCGATGGCTTACGATTTGTAGGCCATCGTCCGTCGTCTTCCTGAGGAGATGGTTTACTTAAACGCCTGTTTCGCTACTTGTCTTCTTTGCTACCCTCAGGGTAGTACCCTGGCGTGACCTTCGCG